ACGAAACTAAAAATTTAACGCTATTGTACTATCACAGACGCTGATAATGCGGATTCCTCAAACGCGGGGGATCAGCATATTAGGAATATATACAATAGAGCAAACGCGCAGCGGCGCGATACTAATAATATTCGCGAAACGAACTGTTCACCGATTGTTTACTGACCAGTGGTAGTTAAGTATTTGTGTTTAGGAGTGTTTACCCAAAATTATTTGTATAATTGTGAGTAAATAAAATTAGTATTTGTCGTCGACGAACTATCAACGGCAAATCATTTCTTTTTAAAAAAAAAAAGTGTTTTTTATTGAGGACGTGACAGTACGAAAAAAGGTAAATGAGTATTGCAGGAAGTAAGGAAAAAGTATTTCTCAAAAATAGCCTTTGTCGCGGACCTATCATAAACTCTCCAAGCGGAATCCACACGTACCGTGTTCCAACGGTTGGAACATTTTTGATTTTAATGACTTTTATGCTTTTAAATTTTATACTTGTAGAATAATAGAGTTTTGTAATTTAAGAACTTTAAAATATTTATGGTTTGAAACTTTAGGGAACTTTAGAATTTTGTAAATTTGGGTACTATCTAATGTACTGTTTTGGAGTTTTAGAATTTTAGAAATATGGGATACTCGGATTTTGGAATTTTAGAATCTAGGACTTTTCGTTTTAAAAAATTTGATTAATTTTCTGCACATGTTGAAAATACTTAACATATTTATTATCCATATATCATTTTTTATAACAACATTTCTTTTCATCTCTACATAAAGTACATCAAAATTGAAAGAAAAAAGAAGATGCTAATTTTTCTTCATCTAAACGAAAAATAAATTTCACGTTGTATCATACGAAAAATAATTTGAGCAACTCAAATATAATACGCTGCTCAAAAGAAATATGGCATAGAAAAATTTTAAGCAAAAATTGGCCAAATTTGACTGATGATAACTCCGTGAAAAATCATCACAAAGTTATGCTCCATCATCGCAAAGTTATGCTCTTTTTTTCAAATTAAAGCTTGAGATCTCTACTTTAAGACCCTGTAGTTTGATTTTAGATTTGATGCATCACTACCACAATAACACCGTAAATGTGAGGTCATGTTTGCAATATTTAAAATTACAAAGTTTGACGGAATGCATGGACTTGCCACATTTTGTTTTGGCGATACTGTTTACAGCAGCATAAAGTCCAAACCTTCATCTTTAATTTCCAGTATGTGAAAAACCGCTACCATTTTTTTCCGCAAAGATACAGAACTTTAAAGAAACA